CATTCCAAGGTGTAGATTCCTATGGAGAAGAACGAGCAAGAAACTCCATGGGTTACTCTTTTGCAATCAGGTCCACAATACAATTTACTAGTTACATAGTTTTGCTGTTTGGATTGTGCGAGAACAATGTAACACTTAAAACCAGTCAAAGTGATCAAAAAAGAAAATAACCTTAAGGACAATAATACAGTCTGGAGCTGACCAGTTCCAGTTGACGGCGCCCGTTCACGAACATGACACGTACACCAGCACCGCCCAACTCAACCATATTGTAGGGAATCGAGCGATCCACTGCACGCGCCACCGCCAATGAGACCTTTGAGTGAGCATGACAAGTTCCTTGTTGGAATCCAACTTATGACAGAGTGCAGAGGTAGACACAACTCAGTTCGTTGTGTCGCAGCACATTGTCCAACCGCTAAGCCAACTGCGTCTATTAAAGAAGTCTCTAAAGACTGCAAAAATATTTGGAAACACGTAAAAAATAAAAAAAATGCGTTTTAATATCAACGCAGAATTTTTAAAGCGTATGAGTACAACCAATCACGTCGGTGTTGGCTTTTAATCAAATGTTTAATTATCCGCTGAATGGAAATTTTTCCTAAATGAAATTTACACCCTTTAGTTACGAGGCATTTTATTGTTAACTAGCTTCTGCCTGCGATTTTGTCCGCGAATAATAGTTTTTATTTAGGCAGAATTTTATTTTTAAGTTGTGGCTACTGGTGTTATAGTTTCTAAGATGAAGCGTACTGTATGTTTTGTTCAAGTTTATTAACTGAGAAAAGTTTCATTTCAGTCCCTTCGTTAGTTCCGGAGATTACTGTGTGCAAATAGTTTTCATTTTCAAAATGTATTTACTGTTTCATCCTTAATGTACGTACAGACACAATTATACCATTTAAATACACGTATTAATCATTTTCATGAATTAAACGTTCCGACTATCGGTTGGATATCGCGGTTAATCTAGTTCAGCGAACAGTTAAAATGAAACGTGTAACTTACGCTCTCGACTGTACCTACATTGCAACTGCAATAAATAAATTACTGACAATGATTAATCTCCGTAGCCTTTAGGGAAAAGCTATTTCGTATTTCGAGTTTTATTTACACACCGTTAACACCTATATTGTTTACACCATAAATGAGTAAACAGTGTGTAAATGTTCATTGAAATATTTTTTTTACACTACTCGTGTGAATTATTGTGTAAATATTGAATTTGTGGTTCATTCCGTGATTGGCTGGTGATTTTATTCGATTATTGTTCTGATTGTTTTTTGAATGATTGTTTAATTTGACTCTATTAATGGTTGAATGATATAAGATGACAATTATTGGATTTATTTGGATTTGTGTTCTGATTGTGACTGATTATATATTATGTGCGACTAGGTTTTTTCATGCTTAGCTTTAGAAACACCTATAAATACTTAATTGCCAATCATAAAATGTAAAAGGCAATATGAAATGTATTGACATTTTAGCATACAGATGGAAATTCTGAATGCTTGAAAGAACTTCACACAAATCTTCAATGACCTGAGTTCCCTTTGGACCAAGAAATTTAATAATCTCGTTAAGAAATGGCCCATAAAATGGAATCACGTCTTCACGCTTTACTGGGTCGAATCTTCAATAACGTAACCGTAACGATCGAGGAACGCCGGCAAAAAATGACATGACAATACTCTAAGCTGAAAAATATGAATTTATAAAATGAATTGGACGTCTTTTTTAACAGCTTTATCGGCGAAATCGAATAGCGGTTTTTGTATTACTTAATTAATAATAGTTTTTAACTCTGTGGCATTTTAACATTGGAATAATAAATAATAGCTGTTAACCAATAGTAATATAGGTAAAGGCACGTATGTGTCTTTCTGATGACAAAAATTAGGTTACTTTCTATGTTAACCCTAGGACATTATTGTTTCATAAATATATCTGTTCATGTTATTTTTATTAAAAGCTGCAACTAAAACTGCTTACTTAAAACAGACAGCAGACAATTTTTATGTATTTTTTAACTAAACAATATATTTCTTTTATTATATTAAAGAACGTATTTGTTACTGAAATATTAGTACTCAAATAATAAGCAGCCTACTCATCTTCACCATCATCAGCAGCTTAAATACGTCGACTAATGAATAGAGGCCTTTCTCCATAGAGTTTCTGCCACAATCCCCAAGTTTGGCAATCGGCTTGGAGATCGCTACTGAAATTTAGAGGACATTGCTGTCCATCCCTTAGTGGCCTATCGTAGTTTTTGAACAAGTTAAACCCATTTATAATTAAACTACCTAACTTTTAGCCTCCCTCTATAAATGCACTATCCAACACAAAAAGAATTATCCAAATCAGACCAGTAGTTTCGGAGATTACGACGTTCAAACAAACAAACTCTTCAGCATAGAATATTCCCCTTTGTCATATGTACTGTCACACGTGACATCACAGTCGTGTCATAGACATTCATAAAGCTATCTATATATGTCATATCGATTTAGATAGCTAACGGTATCTCGTACTCCCAATGACAACCATGCGGTGAATCCATGTGGCATGCAAATTTCGATTTTAGAAACTAGTGTGTAGGTTCGCTATTCCAACAGCTAAGACCTTTTAAATACCTGTAATTAATATTGGGTTATTTTTCCTAAGCATGAAAATTTTTTGAGTCCAGTTGCGATCTTATTTATATCGACACTTTAAAACTCTTTTGAGTCTGACAATTAAACAAAAATCGCTTACAATCTTTCACGACACAAAGCTATATTTACATATATAAGTACTATCTACCTTCATCTATTTCTCTCGTAAGAGAAAATAAGATACAACAATATCATTTAATAAAATTAAAAAATGAAATTTTACGTAAACGAATTAATTTCTTAACATATTATCAACACTGAGTGTACACGCATACCACGTAATCCGCGGTTCATAGTTATGGGTCACGGAATTCAACACAAAACCACAATTCTACCCACTAATATGTGTAAAATGGAAGACATGTTTAATTTTCCCGAGTAGGTACAAGCATTGGCATGTAGTAACATCAGAGTCTCTTCTTGGGGCTTATCATTAGAACCGACAAGAGGACACCCTTAGCGAGATCAGAGAACACCCTTAGTGGGCTCCGGCTCGACGTGCAGGAGAAGGAACGGGGTGGTTTTTAGTCAGTAATAGTCTGACACTCCCGCCCGCCTCACCCACGTGGGAGCAGTCATTCGATGATTTTCCCCCCTTAAAAAAAGTGAGTACAGATAGCTGCGCTCTCTGAAAAAGTTAAACGTTTATAACTACAATCTCCAACCCGCTTGCTAAGCTTGGAGATTAATAACAAATCCCTTTTATATAGGCAACTGCAGCAGTCGACTGTCACAAGCTGATGACGTATGAGTACAGTCAGGTGCAAAAGTAGAGTGCTATGTCGTATTTAAAAAAAACAATCGTACCATTATTAAAAAATTCTTCGCAGTTCCACGTTGTACGTACGTTCGTTCGCTGCGTTCAATTTACATTTTACTCTATTTTTCAATCCCCTCTATTTTATTGGGGAATATACTAAAATTGACGTCACATATATATTCACCGGTTGTTAAGTAAACACTGGACATAAATTGCTTTTGTTCAGTTTCATTTGTTTTGTTCAGTCGACACAAAAACAAATTGGGCACGAACTTTGTTATTTCGTGTTTTTTTCGTCTGTGTTGGTTTTATGACATTTATTTAGACAAATATGCTAGTGGCCCTTTTTATAATTATTTTGTGACGAAGCATGTCTAATTAATTGTTTTGGAAAAATGTGACTTAAAATATAATATTATGTCTGAAAGTGTCTGAAAGTGTTGCGAGCGCGACTTTAGAATAACAGGTATCGAATTCGATCCTCGATCCGGGCACAGTACTTACGTGGCAATAAGCCCTCTTGCTATCTCATGGAATACAGGATACATTATTTAAAAAATGGGTGTTACATTTTATATTGTACATTTCTGCTCACCCCTTTGACGATTAGCCATACGTGAAGTCAAATTATGATAATATAAAAAGATATAGACCAGAGAGTGTGAAGAGTCCAAAATTCAGGACTCAAAAAGCGAGTCTAAAGTCTAAGCCTTTTTATGTAAAAAAAAACATTTTATTTTTCATTTTAAAAGTCTACGTCAGACTTATTAATAACTAGCTTCTGCCCGCGACTTCGTACGCGTACCATCCCATTTTTTCCCGTCCCCGTTCGTGATTTTCGGAAAAAAGTAAAAAAAAAAAATTTTGTCTAAAAAGTATCCTATGTCGGTCTCCTGGCTCTAAGCTACCTCCCTACCAATTTTCAGCCAAATTTATTCTGCCGTTCTTGAGTTATAAGTTGTGTAACTAACACGACTTTCTTTTATATATATAGATAAGCCACCGAGACAATAAAATATTTTTCATGAATTTTTTAATACAGTACTTTAATATAATAATAATTACTTTAATATAATATCGATACTTCAAATAACCTTTATTTTATGTAAAACAGAAAATACTAATCTGATAACAAAAAAATAATTATTTAAAAACAAGGAAAATAAGAATAAAAATTTATCGACACACTATTTTAAAGCCAATTTTAATTAATCAATATATTTTAAATAAGGAAAAAGCCGTTCGCAATTTTTTTTATTCAACAAAATAATAGACCTGCCTTGTAAGCAATGCTTACGTAAACCCTTATGTTACGTAAACTGCTGCAGAAACTTCAACCAAACATGTTCCAGTTTGACAAATTTTATTCAGACCAAGAGAACACTACCAAAAAATTTTTTCGTTCACAATAAATTATTTACACAATTTTTACACAACCATAAAAACTTTGAATAAATTATTCACAAAGTATTTAACGTAAACCGTGTAGTAACGAACTCACTAAAAAGTTTTAAAGTTACGAAAACTTTATATAAAAATTTGTCAAACAAGAAAAGTATTTTCCCATTGATGGAACTGACCTGTTCTGGCAGCGCAGGTGATGGGGGGCTGCATGCCCTCCTGCATCAATCCTCCGTTCATGTTCGTGTAGAATTCTAACATGTTTGGAACAAATCACTGCACACCGCCGCGCGAGACGCTGAGATGCTGCCAGCGCGCCGGCCGAGCACTCAATGGTGCCAGGATAAGTCTCCTACCCTCATCATGGCACCACGGAGGGGACAGCCCTCCACCTATCCGCCAATACCAGGCCCCTTTCCTTGCCAGCCCCGCCCCTTCTACCCATGACCCTACCTACCTATTATACAGATCGCGGCGATGATATTCCGCCACTCGGCTAAAGCGGCCAAAAATTGTGTTTTTTCGGAAAAAAAAATTGCGACTGGATGACCGGGGCACTCACGGTCATTATTAAATTTTCAAATATTATTGGAATTTTTGTCATGTCAATCCAACCAACCGGAGGTAACACGATTTTGTTTTAATTTTTGTGTACAGATACAATTTGAACATTCGCGGGCTTTCACTGAAACTACCTGCATTCGTTGAGTTTACATCGCGCTGAGAGCTTGTCACTTGAAGCTTTTGGGTATACGTTATATGAATTTATTTATGATCTAATAAAAAATTTGCAACTTATAAATACCTATCTATAAGTATAAAATCTGCTCTAACGTTTAAAACTAGAAGGATTTTGTATTTGCCATACATAGAGGTATAAATTACTTAAATAAACATACTTTTTATCTAATCGCTGAAAAAATATATAATCAAATTTCATGTCGGTTTAAATTTCATATTGGACTACTTTAGTGCATTATGAAGACAACGCCATTGTTTTCTTAGTTCGTTATGCATTTAACCCGACAAGGAAGCTATAACAATGCTTTCAAGCATTTCAGCACAATTTGGAATAATGAGTTAATTATACTAGTTAAGTTAATATTCGAATTTTGAACTAGACCGGTGTAAAATGGGAGTACATTTGTCGTATCTCGGTGGTGCTTTGTTTTCTAAAGCCAGTGAGCATAAGGAGTCCTATTAAGTAATGTAGATTTCCAGTCGTTAATCGTTGTTTTTAGGTTTTTCCAGAAATTTTTTTTTTAAAAATTAAAAAAAAACATCAAGCTGTTTTTATCATCGTAAAATGTAAGTCAATTCATATTTTTGTTCTATATTTGAGTGTATGACCTCATTGCAAAAATACTATCTCTGATTTTGTTTGTTGGTTTTTTTTTATTAAACAGCGTTATCATTTTTCTGATTAACTACAAAAAGATTGCTAAATTGTCATTCCTCGTAATTAATAAAAAAATATATAAAAAATGTAACCAGAGAAAAAAACAGATACAATAAACTAAAAATGCATGCTAACTAAAAAAAACTAAATAAAAAAATTCTCAATTCAAATTTTATTTCAGTTAACCCTAATACGTAGTACGCGCGAATGCGTTATAAAAAAAAAGATTTAAAACATGTTATTGGTCGGTTTAGACACGAGTGGTATCTCGACGGGGCTTGTACGGGCTATTGTGTTTCAAGAAGGCCAATTCTCCCATTGAGCCCGTACTTGCACCATCCGTCGTGTAAACATTACCGAGGTCTGATTCATTTTGAACTTTTGGATCCGGCATACGATTTGTATAGCGTTGATTATTTTCTTGATTTTTTTTTTTGTTGGTTTGTAGTGTATCAGGGCTTTAGGTATACACAGTGGTCGGTAGGAGTAATGTTAAAGTTTTTGGCATATTTCATTTTGAGTGGAGTTTCTATTCGTTTTCAAGTAAAATACTGACAGTTTTATACCTAATATTGATTAAAATAAGTAAGTTTTTAAACGTAACTTTCATTCCTATTTTCTGTGTTACCTACCTATTTAATAAATGAATTGTAATTGTATAAATTTTAGTACAAAACTAAACAAAATATTATTTTAAAAATTAAATATTTTATAATTGTATTAGTTTATAAAACACTAACATTTACTAAAAAAGATCTCTTTAAAACACATAATTTTATTTTAATGTATTAATTCTCTATAATACCGCATCCACTCCGAAACACATCCCTTTGAAATTCTCATGGAATCATTATTGTGTTTTCATTGCTCAAAACTCGATGAATAGCGCTGCGTGCATTTTTTGTCCGACATTCGACCATTGTGCCCTGTCGGGATCACCACTTCAAGTCAAACGGTGTGGTGATCAAGAAAAATGGTGATCGGTTGACGGGACTCAATCAAAAAGGGAAATACGGTTAAATCATACACATGTGATTTAGCAAAAGAAATCTTATTTGTATTGACAGTTGAGGAAACATTTGCAAAAAATATAGAATGGGTTGTCTTGTCTATGAACGTTCTTTTTTAACTCAAATGAAATTCTAATTTTGAATGTATGTATTTTTTTTTCGTTTTGTTTTTGAAGAGGGATGTGTTGTGGCATTGTCGTGTGGTATTTTAGATATGTTTTTTCATTTACACTTTATTTTAAGGTCATAGTATTTTAAGTATGAAAAAAATAGAAAACACCGAATATAAAAGGTATTTATTTATATTTAACGCATTGCGTTGGCTGGGAAACTAGCTGCCGTGTAACGTATTACAGGATCGATTCCCATTAGGAACCACTCTCTATGTGATCCACAAATTATTATTCCAGGTTTAAGTGTCACGTGCATGTGGAATTTACAACATTTTATACGCGGTGACGTCGCTAGCTCTCACTCCAAAAGATAAATATCTTTGGTCTAATCTAACTAATGTTTTCTTACATACAATAAAAAAATACGTGTCTAATATGTTTTCATTAACTGACGGACTAAACAGAATATTATTTTTCATACCCTGTCAACTGTCCTATAATCAGCAAAGGAATTCTTAAGCGCTTGTCTTTTCATTGCAACATTGAGGAACGCGGCCACAAAGTACCTAAGGCACAAGCTACACCGTCTCAGGCTTCTGTTATAAAAATGAGAAAATAAATCTGACAAGGTTTTATTAGAAAACCAGCTTTAAGCCTGAGATTTTAACGTCTTTATTTCAAGTTGAAAGTCTTAAGAACATTCCCTGATCGTTCTATACTTTAAAATATAAAATGTACAAGTATATACAACTCTATATAATATATCTGTTGAATCCATTTCCAGGAAACCCACATACCTACAGATTTATAATGAAATATTCTAACCGTGTACCGTGTTATCAAGGGTTTAATAAATGGGAAACTTAAAAAAAAAACAAAAACAAAAAAGGTTTGCTTTAGTCGAGCAGTTCAAGACACGCTCAACAGAACTATAAAAGAAAATATAAATAAAAATCCAGATTTTAATTTCGCATTCACAAGACCATTGTAAATAGGGATAAAAAATATCTATTGTTTTACTAAATTAGTTTGTTTCACGGAATAAATGTTCGTTCAAAAACTTCATTCAGCGTATAAGAAAATTTCGTAAAGCCAAACTATTTTGCTGAATGCTGATAAAATAATATTTTTATAGATAGTTCCGCATACTCTACTTTCAACTTTATTACGAAACTATACGGTTGAAAATCTATTAGGAGAACAATTGGTAGTAGGTTGTCGTTTGAACATGCATTTTTCATCCCTGACTATTTTATAAAGTTGTAAAAAGATTATTCAAAAATCATAGTAAATGTGTATTTAGATAATCATGATCTATTTACTGTCGACTGATCAAATCTTAAATCTCCGAATTTTGACTGAAACTATCCATGACGTCAAAAATCGGATTTGATGACTGACTAGATTACTCGATTAGGTAATTTCGTTTGTGAATGTTGATTTGTGCTTTCGGCAAATAAAGGATTGTGCTTTTCGCTGTTTAATGACATTCTACTTCCGTAGAAACGCCTCGTTATATTCTGGGAATAATAGACAATATTTTTAAAAGCTTTAATTTAACTTGCAATCAGTGTATGTATGTGTGAGTGTGTGAAGTGGAATCATGCAACTAAATTTTGAAGCAGTATCTTTTAAAAAGATCCCTTTATGGATTGAAACAGAGTGGTCGGCAGTGGAACATATCAAGACATCAAATCACTGAAAGAGTGCGATATGAATGGCCCATGGCCTACAATTAACTAATTAAGTTGCAATGTTGTAAGTATACACAATTAGTTTTGCATGACCATAAATAACAAGATGCTTAAAAGCCTTTGTTTTAATAAGATTTAAAATCAAATAAAATTTACTGTTTCGCTACGATTTTGGGTTGGCAGATCACGGGTGCTCAGTGACGCAACCGAACCGACTGCTTCGCAACCCCGGCTCGACCTTAAGTGACGATCAATGAGCCAGTAGGCGTGGAACGTGAAACGTCTACGTATACATCTACATTATGGATATTGTATACACAAACGGTTATAACACAGACTCGTATTTTTGAGTACGAAAATATGTGAAAACTTTTGCCTTTTTGAGGTCTTTTATTGATTTTGGATTGTGAGGTGTGAGTCACTGTGTTAGAGCCTACATTCGCTAAAATAATAATTATAGAAAATGTTCTAAATCAGTGAAGACAAGTCCATCCATAAAAACAATAGGTAGATACATTCCAAGTAAAATAACGAAGAAAAATATAAAATGGCGATTTTCTTTGAAAGTTTTTAGTCCAATTTGCAACTTTCACGTGCGAAAATAATGTAAACAAATACAAATAGGTATTGTAAGGTGGATAGTTGACACTCCAGGTGATCGAAAGGCTGGCTACTACCTTAGGCAAAGGTTAAGCATTGCCATTCATCGTGGTAATGTTGCCAGTCTTTTGGGCACCCTACCTCACGATATCGATGAGGAAAAAAATATTTTTAATGCTTTACTGTAACACTTATATTAATTGTTTTAAGGTGTAAATACAAATAAACAAATTGTCACATAGGCTGTACTAACAGCCAGTCTGTACGACCTATATATAAATAGATGCATTGAGCTTCAATAGGTATTCGTAGAATTATGTCCCAATCGCCACTGGTCGTATAGACACAGCCAACGTATTTCACTTGAACTATAATATTACCAATGTATCAAATATTGACAGGTGAGATAATTAAACAGGATTCCACTTCGATTATTAACAGATTA